TTTCATTTTTTCTGAAAATGTGGTGTCTATTTACTTGTATACCCATAAATTTGACCTATTTACAACTTACAACTTTATTTGCACATGAAAGTTTATATAGTTTGTAATTTCATAACTTGCCATATTCTTTTGAAGTCAACATCAGTTAAATATATCATATCAAATGTTAACATTATTTTCATGCTTCAGTCTGCACATGTCTTGTACTACACCAGTAATATACGATTTTCACGTAAAATAAAATGTTTTGCATAATTAAGTAATCTAACTTTGTTATGTCGGCATACGAAGGTGAATCCCATTGTGGTTTGTTTTTTGTTTTTGAATTTTGCGCAAAGCTGCACTAGGGCTATTTGCGCTAGCCGTCTCTAATTTAGCAGTGTAAGACTAGAGGGAAGGCAACTAGTCATCGTCACCCACCGCCAACTTTTGGCTACTCTTTTAACAACAAGTAAGGGGATTGACCGTCACATTACAATGACCCCACGACTGAAAGGGCGAGCATGTTTGGTGGGACGGGAATTCGAACTCGCGACCCGCAGATTGCGAGTCGAACGCCCTAATCACCTGGCCATCCCACTATGGAGAATGATATTTGGTCTTAATGGCAGGGTGATCTTGAAAGCCACTATTCTAATGAGGAGAATGTTAGCATTTCATCCAAAATATTTTCTTCTGATTACAGAATAATAATATTAGTGAAATATCTTAAACCGGGTTTCAGCAAGAGGATAAATTTACAGTATCATGAGGAATTCTTTATATAATAAGAGTCTGGTCACGTACACGAATTAAGCTGCAATAAAAATTAGAGGGTAGTAGATAAGTTTGACTACACTTCAAGCCTTCAATTATAAGACCTTATAGAGACCATTTGGAGGAAAGGAGCTCAGATCCAAAAAAGATCTAGTACTTGATGAAGGGATGGGAGGAGAACATGACCATTCAGTCATAACTCGGTAAAAAAGAGGAAAAGGGAGTCTTTAAAAGAGTAAAATTGCTAAACTTATTGTCTTTAGATCTAGTACAGTATATTTAATGAATCATTGATGAATTACGTGTAATGATTTGTGTTACTTCTTTTGGACTTTGTGTTGTATATGTATATTTTTCAGGCATTTGTATCAATTTTCGCCACAAATTATCAAATAAATCCGAATGAATTGTATCTTGCTTGGCTGCATTTTGAGTGAGTGGTTGTCGCAATTCACAACTACTGCCAGGTTGTTTTTCTCATTTATTCTATGCGTTGTTATAGCACTGTGACCGAAAATCTTGTAGCTCCATTTCGTCCTTCTCTAGCTGTTTCAAGATGTCTTCAACCAAGCTCTCAGCATCCTTCTGTCTTATATGGATAAAACCAAGAAAGGACTCTCTAACACGGACTGTTTTCCTCTCAAAATCAGCTTCCACGTATCTCACTACTTCTGACATCTGCTCACGGTGTGCCTGATCTGGAGTCGAGTCGAACATAAGACCATAGTGCTTGGCTTTACGAATGCTTCTCAGTAAACTCTGGCAAACAGTGGATGCCATCATGTGGATGAAATCATTCTGACATCCAGTGAAAGATAAGACGTGGATCCATGATGACTTTCCACACAAGTGAGGTGTTCTTTCATGACAGGGTCAAAAATGGCCAGTACTTTCAGTAAGCCAAGAAAATTTCACACATTGGAGTCATCGTCTAGCTCAAGTGACTCCCTGTGTCCTCGCAAAGTCAGGTTTTGAGTCACAAGGAATTTTATGCAGTGAAGGATTATCGTCAAGATATCACGCCACTTTTGCTTTTCCTTCTTAATCTGTGACTGAAGTTCCACGTCAATAACTCCTCTGTTTTCAGCTAAATTTCTTTCCACTTCTTTCCACTGTGTGAAGCACTCGCGATGATTCTTAGCATTTTCATGAACACTAATCCTTTCATGTGCTTTCCACTGGTTGAATCCACTTTCCTGCTCCAATGAGGATTGATGGTCTGACCGGGAATAGAGAAGATAACAGATACAAAATGCAGACTTTTTAGAAGGGGAATAGACCAGTCATGAGCGGGTCACTTCCTCACCATGACCATTTCCCAATTTCCTCTTCATTCAAGTTTTGTTCATTGGGCGGTTATTTGTTGGTAGGAAACGCCCCCCCCCCCCCCCACCTGTTCTGGAAATACTTTGAACCCAGCTTTATTATTTCTGTTCTCAACGTGTCAGGCAGAATTGCTTTTCCAGTATCCTTGTCGAACTTCAGAAGTCTAATGTCATCTGTTCAATCACTTCTGGTATGACAGTTCGAGGCACTTCGACACCATCGAGTTCACTAGGTTCAGTGTTGTCAACTTCAATCTCGTCAATAAACTCAACATCACCACCACCATCGTCTTCCCCTCCTGTCATGTCCACATTCTCTCTGGCAGCCTCACTCTTAATCTCGTTGTACTCGGATTTATCCGACTTGACTTTCTCCTCGGCTTGTGACGCATTTGTACTTGAACCACCTTTGGATTCTAACAAACTTGTAGCTAGTTCAGGTGACTCCATGGAACGTGTCGAACTACTTATTTCGGGCTTTTGAAAGAAGTGCATGAACAATTTGCTCGACTTCTTGGCTTCCTCTGCCTCCAACTTTCGTCTCTTTCCGTCCTTCAGCTCCATTTTCCTTTTTAGTGAAGAAACGTTTTATGGTTTTCTTACACAATGCTCTGAAATAAGGAAATGGCACTTTTAATAAGAACATTAAATTTCATAGATTTTGCACAAAATTATAGACTACCTCTCTTGTTTGCGCAGGAGAATGGTCTTACTGCCAGTTGGCACTGAGCAGTGGTACTATAAGGTATGTGGTCATGTTGCTCCCAGCACTGTATTTTTACCTAATAATTTATATAATTGGTTTAATAATCCGGCCATCTTAGTGCTTCTCACCCATGATAATCAAATACAGATGATACATCTGAAGAAAATTCTTTTTCCACTATTCGAGGATGGCTTGTCTGACTTTAATAGAAACTGCTCAGTGGCGCCCCCTTCAAGTGGTGCCCAGGGTACGTGCCATACCTTAGGTACGCCACTGCATGAATAGGTTTAAGAGATTGGTTTATGTCATCAGTGGCATTTTTATTGTTAGTATTGACATCTGCGTTCTCTTGGTGAATAATTTGAGATAATTTACTTTAAAAATTTTCAACACAATTACTTTTGAACGTCAAGACAATGAAACTGGACAAATATTTTAGAGATAAAATTATAAATAAAATTCAATCCGTTTCGTTAGTTTGTTAATTCACTGTATGATTTGATTAAAATGATTGTTTTTGCACTTTATTAATGACATTATCGTATTCATTGTTACTTATTAATTCTAAACAGAAATACCTAATATGAACCGAAACAATGAAAAAATGCGAAAAAGAAAACATTGGCTAGTAAGTGAAAAATAAACGATAAATCTGTGAGAATTGATTTCAATTAATATGGCTACGAATTTAATATATATAAAAGCCATTGTCTGTCTTTTATTAACGGTTTAAAAGTTTGTTAGAAATTTAAAATCTTGAAGTATAAGAATGACGTCATTAAAATACATGGTGTGCCAATAAAGTAATGAGCCATTAACATTATACTTATATAAAGTAATCAGAGCACTACAATTTGTGTTGAGAAACAAATTCCAAGCATTTCTAAGGTAAGAAAAAAAAAAGATTGACATATTTATTGTAATCTAGGACTTTTAATAAGCTGTGTTTTATATTTAAGTTAATGATTTAAATTAATATTGACATTTCTATAGACGAATAACGAATGAAGCCAGAAGTATCAACAGATAGCACTAAATATGAAGAATATTCCCCTTAGTGATAAATGAAGAATTGTCATTACTGTCAGTAGAGATTCAGTATATTGAATTTATTATTATTACTCAAAGATTCCTTAAATAAAATGTTCACTATGGTGTATTGTAACTTTAGAATACAACATAAAGCCAAATATTAAGTATTAATAATAACATTTAAATATGTGGATTCTTTTAAAATCTAGTAGAGCTAGAAATAAAATTTTCAACAAAAAATATATCAGCATAATTTTGACATAAAAGTACAATGGAAATGAAGTTGTTAGGCGTACAAAATTGTTATATGTTATAGAATATGTACATATGTTATACATAATTTTTTATTTGAGGTTCAGAACCAGAGGATCGGAACAGATTTAACATCGCAAGGCTTAAGGGCTTGCAGCAGAAAAGATTCGTCTTCTGACAATGTGGGGAAGAAACGAAAAAGTGCAGAATCAGTTTTCCCTGAAAATTTAGACAGGTACCCTTTTCTTAAGGGGGAAATATGTAGCTTTAATGAGCACAAGACGGCGCGCTTGCTCCCAGCAACCTTTGCGGGACGCGGCTGTATCGAGTATCGAAGGGAGAGTGAACGTCCAGTGTGTGGTCAGTGTGGGAAGGTATTTGTGTCTTTACGGAGCCTTTCCGTACATGCCACAGAACATATGAATGCTGTGGATTACAGTGCCGGACATAAACCACTTAACAACCGTCCATCTCCTAAAGAACCGGCTTCCTTTGGATCCGAGACAGCTAGTCGTGCATATGATGGAGGCCAAGACCGACGCGCAACGCCAGTGGCTGTTTCTACTCACCACGTGACCAGGGATAGCAGCAAATCAGGTGTACCGCTATTGGAGCGCGGGAAGGTGAATCGCAGCCAAAAGCTGCTGACTGGGCTGAGCTTACCGTGTCCTGTTTGTGGCAAAACTTTCGTTGCCATGAGAAATTTGGAATCTCATTTAAAGAGTCATACCAAACAGCGGCCCTACCAGTGCTTAGACTGCGGCAAAAGCTTTTCGCTCCGTAACACATTAATCTGTCATACGCGTGTGCACACCAAGGAGCGGCCGTACACCTGCTCTTTGTGCTTCAAATCCTTCACACAGGCCAGCACTCTTAAATCGCATGTGATTTACAAACACACCAAGCAGTTTCCGCATAAGTGTGACACATGTGGTCGAGGTTTCATCTCACCAGGTCAGAAGATGGAGCATGTTACACGCCTTCATGGACCAGGGTCCAGCGTTAGCAGCAATGAACAACAGTGACCACTTCATCATCGCAACTAGTCCGGTCATGTATAAGTAACGTGTACCCCATGGTCGTACATGAAGCCAACGTTTATAGGCAGCGCACAGTTTTCCATCGATGCGTATACGTGCTTCAAAACTACGCCATAGCCATGGCCAGTATAGCACCTTGCTTGCAAATTTACTTAATGTACTTTTTATTGGAAGTACCGTTTATATGCAACTGCAATTAACTTTTGTTCTAGTTTTATGTACAGTACATAGATATGATGGTTCTTATTCTTGTGTTATTTCAGTATAGTGATTTAAGTGCCAATCATTGAATTACACGTATATAGTAACGTGTTCGAATTACTTCTAAAGCATAATGATAATATTGTTTTATCGATGTGTGTGTAAGTAACACTGAAATTATAAAACAAGGCTATCTATAAGTAAAAACAGCATATTTTATGATATATGAAAATATATTAGATTTAGTTCGGATCATTAATACAGTCACAAAAATTGCCCGCTATTGTTATCTTGTAATTTGGTTGTTACGTCTTAAAGTATAATGTACAAACGCGGCGTTAGGCTTAGTTACTTTCATAAAATAGAAGGCCACTTATTGCATTTGGATTTTTTTGGAAGGGGGGAGTTGTCTGTATAAAGTGATGTCTTTATAAGTTTATGCCTCTGTCATTATTATTATCATTTTTCCATTTACATAATTTGACTTAAAGGAATAAAGAGAATGTACAACCGGTGGATTAAATTACAGTTTTAAGTTATTTTCAGGGCTTGTGTTACAGTTCTACGTACTATTAATTTTGAGTGAAGTTAAGCTATTTTCCAGACTTGTGTTACAATTCTATGTGTTATTAATGTTCGGTAAAATTAAATTATTTTCCAGGCTTGTGTTACAATTTTATGTGCTGTTAGTTTTGAGTGATATTAAAATTTCACCTCGAAGAATTTAAATATGAACAATGGCTATTTTGATCCTTATGGTTAATTTCGAAACACAAACTGATCATTCTAACTATAATTAAAAAGTGACTTGATGAAAATGATTTCGAAGTAGCAGAATAACACCTAGCAATATATAAAGTTTGGGGATGTAGCTTTGTAAAATTTAAAATACGGATCGTATTTATTCCAGAGGCGATGTTTGAGGAGAACAAAGTATGCAATTGCATCACATAAAATCAAGGAAGTTTTCAAGCACTACTATGACCCCCGAAAATGACTTTGCATGTGGTCCCAATCTAACACCTCCTTATTGTTCTGTTTTTATTCTGGGAAAATGCATCGACATTGGCTTCATAACATTGCGATTGAGTATGTTTCATTCTCGTTAACTTTATTACCAGTTTTTTTTGTTGTTTTTTTATGAATCACGCATAATACCCTTCTGTAATTGGGACTGTCATTACTACGTCAATATCCATGGCTGCTCTTCTTTGTAATATGCGTAAATAAACAATTACATCATTATTTTTGCTGTAAAGATTATGGCCTGTTAAAATAATCGTACAATATTCGTGTTGAACTTGTTACTGTCTGAATTCAAAGACCTTATTTGACACAACTTGAATTTATATAGTAATAATAATAAAGTTAGCACCAGATTTGTGTATATATATATATTATGTTGTATGTTGTGAAATCCGGGAAAGGAAGGCAGGGTAAAAACTGCGGAATGTGATGGTGATGAGCTCAAACGAACTAACTTGGTGAGATATTGAGCAGATTGTATTTTAAAATAAATAAGCTAAGTGTTTATAAAAAATATTGTAAGCTTCGTTAGCAGCAAACTGTTGTATTTATTTTGTCATATATGATTGCAGAATCTTAGATAAGAGGTATGTATACAATAAAAATAATAGCTTTCACAATAGAACTATAATAGTAAATTAGTCATTTGCGCGTTACGTTTTGAAGTCTTGCTGTGCAAATAAATAATAGTAAAATGAACTTCCCCTTGATAAATATGATGTTTCAGTTTGGGATACTGCATCATTGTGCTCTATAGTTTTGAAATGGATCTTTTGCTTTTTTCTGTATTTATTATCAACAATAATATGAATATCATCTTTTGTATTTACTGTTTCTGGGGGTGTTTGTGTACTGTGCAGTTTAAATAAGTTGAAATACGTTTAACAGGTATTCAGGGAAACAAGTATGCGAGATAACCATGGTAATTGTAAACCTTCTGTCCATCATTTCAATGTAGTCGCTTCATCCCATAACTTGATACTTAAATCATTACTTATATTTTAAACTACTGTTAATATGTATTGTTTGACTTGAAATAAAGAAGCCAAAACCCAAATATAAGTTGTCAACCCGCAATATCTATTAGCACACTTTAATATGATAATTGTATAAATGGATATGTGGTTTCATAGCCTTCACTTTTAACCTTAGAACTACTGATGGGGTTAAGACAACATGGACTTTCTAAACACGCTGTTTTAAAACTGTATATGCACCAAACTGGTTGTTGGTCCATGGCGTGCTGGTTGCATCGTCCCGAATAACATACAACTTGCAAAACATTTGAGCAAAAGTACCATCAACGTTGTAATTAATGCAACTAATGATTACTGCTGAGGTTTTATGTGTATTTTACATAGCAAATGGATGATTTTTACCTCATGTTTGTAATCAGTTCTTTACTATGAGCGTTGAAACAGAAAAAAAACAAACTCGGTATCATGTAGTATGTGAACATAATCGCGTGAACTGTATAAAAACAAGTAAGTCTGTAGTTTGAGGGGGTAAGCTCGGTCGACATTTGTAAGTGTATATCTGTACAACAGTGAAGAACCGTGTATTAATTGTAAGCAATGATTCTCTGTGGAAAATCCGTAGACTATAGAAACTATTTATATTTTGACGTAAAACGTTCACTACAGTGAACTCTCCTTTGATAAGTGATTATCTGACGAACTGACTGTCAGAACAAGCTTATAGTCTGGTTGTACCAACTAGAGGCATGAGGATTTGATTTATCACAGGCCCATACGCAGAATGCTTGAAAAAGGAGTTTTAATTTGTAAGATCAAAAGCCAACACATATTGTGCGAATCACAATCAGCGATAAGGTTCGTATAAAGATCGTATAGTGGCAATTTTTAAAGTGAAATTATCACAGACCAGATCAAGACACACGGTAATATGTCGTGTGGCCAAAACAACCTGCAGGACAGATACACTGTGTGTTATTAACAGGAGTGATAGTTTAATAATTTTCCACTTTCTGTAATTCAGATTATGGTAATCTAAAGTATCACATATTTTCAGTGGATGTGCTCTACTGGACCCTTACTTCACATACCAAATTTCAAGGCAATCTATTAAGAAATACACGAGTCTCCAAATTTGATTGAATATCTTCCTTTTTTCTTCTTCTTCGCACCGAAAGTACGGAAACTTTTTTCAATAGAAAAACATATTTAACTTTCGTGGATTTTTTGTTAATTTGGTACACAGATAAATCTTTATAACCTGCAATTAGGTGTCAAATTTGGTCTTAATATAAACCGCATGTGCAAAGTTATTGACCGAAAACTGCTCGATTTTTACCAAAATATTTGCGCTAGCCTACGCATCTATCGGTCTGAAATTTTTCTTATAGCTTCAGCTAGAAGTAAAAAGTGGATCGTTTATAGATTTTTGTGGTTCGGATTAAAGATAGTTGATTTAGAGAAGCAAAACAGTAGGGCGAAAGAGTTGGTTAGGCCAAGCAAACTAGATTAACATTTTCTAGTTTAAGTTTTCAAAAGAATCACATGGGTGAAGGGTTATTATTCGTCATTCATTGCCAACTTTTAAACACAAATTTATTCATTTTTTATTAATTTCTTCTAATTAAAGAGCGTTTAGCGTCACGCGATATTAGCTTAAGCGATTAGTGTAAATAATGATGCTTGATACGGCTGTACCAAGTGCATGCGGGTGATGACAAGAAACTGTTAATCTAGATTTCATGGCGTTACTAAAACGGAAGTTATTAAAACTGTTTTAGAGAGGAAAAACTACCACCTTATATTTGAAAGACTCTGATTGGTTCTGTAAAGTATAGGTCTGTTCCAAATAATAGGGTTACGGATCTAAAGCTAATGTTGGTTACTGTCGAGTGTCACTTTCTTATTTGAAAAACACCTTAGATGTGAAAAAAAAGATGCGTTCAAAAAAAGGATTGAGCGTGCGACTTAAAAGAATGAACTCAAAATTGGCGGCCAAACTGGTAGCTAGTTGAACAAAATATGCGGCCCAGCTAACTAATGAATGAATATTTGCTGTAAAATTCTTATCAGTGTTATAAGTGTAGCTATAGCTTCTGGCATGTGACGAGGCATGACTCTACACGAAGTACCGCGAAAGTGTCTGAATAAAGCGTTAATCTGTTTCGAAAAATATTATACTAAAAGCACACACACACCCTTCTTTTTTCCTGTCATAATGATGTTTTCAGTCTCTCCTTTTTTCATGATACGTTCTATAAAACTCCGTTGTATATTTGTTAAATTTTCCCATAATTTTCTTGGCCTTCTTTAGAACGACTTCATTACTTGTATGTGTGTTCCATGCTATTTTAAGTATTCGTCTTAGGAACCACATTTCTGCTGTATCGATGCATTTCTACATTATTGGTGATATTGTCCAACATTCGGAACCATAAAGAAAGATTGGATGAATATAGCACTGTAGAACTCTCAGTCGGTATATACCATAGAATTTAATCTAAACCTCAATGCGTTCTATCCAGGATTTGTTGTAAATTTCGAACATTTAATAACCAGTTGTTAGTTTCGAAACGTTACTACGAATATATCTTTTGTCAGCAATACTTAACCTTTATATATTGATAAAGATCAAGGTTCACAATTTACTTTCATAGAAATCAATTTTGAAATTATTATCAAATTAAAAATATTAGTTTTGCTTCTACGTATTTTGTGGAGGAAATCTATGTAGTATATGGCACATGAAAAAAGTAAATTATTATATAAATGTATGTTAAATATTGATTATTCCTTTGTAGAGTACTTCAGATTTAACCAATAAAAATTAAAAAAAGGAGTAAGTTTCAAATATAAAACAATCAAAAACAAACTTAAAAAAAAGTATTTGGTTTTCTTTAGTGTTGCACCAGAAAAGCAAGGCACTTTCATTGATAACTGCGTCTACAAAAAAATACTTCACTAAAATCTAATCTGTAATGTAATGCTGTGATGATAGCTTATTTTTAAACTAAAATTTCAATATAATCCTTTTTCTCATGGATAGTGAACATTATTGAATGTCAAGTGTGAGTACATTGTTGTAGAATTGTCAGACAATTCCAGAAAAGGCCGCAGTTCCAATAGCTTTCCCCAGGAACTAGCAGTTATACCTATACGGAGGGTGGGTTTTTCTGCTAGTGTTTTTAAGTGCGTAACAAAACTTTTTTCTTGCCCCTTTCATCCCACTTTTATGCATACACTTTTCTTTTTGTCATTTCAAGCGTTGCTACAGAGTAAAACGACCCCAGTGGCACAGCGGCATGTCTGCGGACTTACAACACAGATAGCCCTTGTGTAGCTTTGTGCATAATTAAAAAACAAACAAACAGAGTAAAACTGTTTGAAATAATAATATAATATAATAGTAGGTCGAGTGCGGTAGGAAATGAGGTCAGAAAATCAACCATTTCCATTAAGAATAGAAAAGTTAGAAAAAAGAATAATTTTCATAATTTAAATTTTGCAAAATTGAAAGATTAAAGTCTAGGAAGTTTACACGTGCGGAATCATTTGAAGGAAAATTAAAAAATACAAATAGCAAAATATAGAAAAAACCTCATCTTTTTCAACTTTTATTTGTTCATTTCTAATACGCAAACAAATCTGGTAGATACAATGAGTTCTGCTCTAAGTTTTATATAAAGTTTTAGTTTCGAAAATACACAAGTTGCTTTTTTTAAATTAATCTCTAAATTTAAATATTCTGTTTTATTGGTTGTTCAGATGTTAAGTTATTTTAATTTTGTTCATGCTCACCCTTTCAGCCGTGGGGACGTTATAATATGACAGTCAATCCCACTATTCGTTGGTAAAAGAGTAGCCCAAGAATTGGCGGTGATGACTAGCTGCCTTCCCTCTACTTTTTCACTGCTAAATTAGGGACGGCTAGCGCAAAACCAAACCAAGCAATTTACTGTAACAGTTCGTCCTGGTGTCGAATCAATATAATTTTACGCAGTTCTTTACCACAACATGTTTCTGTACCAACTAATAATTGACATTTTAATATAGTTGTTAAAGCAATTTAACTCTCCTCGTTAACATAATTAACTTGTGGAAGCTGAGTTATCATTAACTATTTTTTAGATTATTTATATGACCAGAAGTTATTTAACAAACTCCAGTTCCTTGCCCTTATTTTGAACGAACTGATTATTTACTTCGATTTTGTCATCACTTTAATTTAAATGATGAAGATTAACTTTATCATCTTCAACTTTTAACTTAGAAAATTTTAAACCTTTTTCATTCCTCGTACAATAATATAAAACAATATAACGCGTACAGGTTCTAAACATAGATATTCAAGCTACTTGTTTGTTTTTGTTTTTGAATTTCGCGCAAAGCTACACGAGGGCTATCTGCACTAGCCGTCCCTAATTTAGCAGTGAAAGACTAGAGGGAAGGCAGCTAGTCATCACCACCCACCGCCAACTCTTGGGCTACTCTTTTACCAACGAATAGTGGGATTGACCGTCACATTTATAACGCCCCCACAGCTGAAAGGTCGAGCGTATTTGATGGGAGGGGGATTCGAACCCGCGACCCTTAGATTGCGAGTCAAGCGCTCTAACCACTTGGCCATACCGGGTCCAATAAATGGCTATAACATTTGTTAGTGAGCAACACATACACACACACACACAAAATATATGATAGAAAAATATCCGTTAATTCTAGTTATTGTTGCCTCTTTTCATAGAAAAACAAATTATTCTTGTTGAAACAAATATGAAAAAAAATAAATTCTCAAAAACTGATCAGAAACCTATAAATTTTAATTTTTCTCTCATGCGACTACAAAGAGAAAAACCAACAAGAAAAAAAAAGCTTTATAGCTAGTTTTAAGGTTTTAACCTTGAAGACTTAAGCATTTAAATTTCTAATCAAAGTTTAGTTATCTCGCATAAAACTCGTACCTACTCGTCACTCATATATTATTTTTAACAACTCTATGAGTTATGTACTAAACCTAGAAGAGTGCAGTTGTTATTGTGTGTATTCTTTTCCAATTGGCAAATAATGATTACAATGATTAGCATATATCATAAGATGTTAGTATTAGGCCTAATACATTAAACATTGTATTCTTGATATAGCCGTCGACAATGATATGACAAGTATGTTTTGGTTGGAATACTATCATTACATAGTCTTCTAGTTCTTGAAAATCCACAAGGGATTAAATTATGAATGTAGTTTTTAAAAATGTATCAGGCCTAATACTAACGTCTAGATGAGTGCAGTTGAAAATCCACTGCATAACAATATTATTATTGTTCGGGGATGATAAGATACAACAATCTACAGTTATTAAATAGTTATTGCTATTGTGTAATCATCCTATGGTTTAAGTTGTTACACATAAGAGTAGATTTGGAAAACAAAGATTTTGTTTATCGCAGCCAAGTCGCTTATTAGATCCCAGTCTATAAAAACAACTTTTTTACCTAAATTTATCAGTTAATTTACTGATTCAAAGCTATTCCAGGGTGCATAGAATACGTATATTTACACCAGACAAGTCTCTAGCATACTTAAGTTACTGCACTATTTAATCTCTACACAAAATTTATCTTATCAAGTTAACAGTGGCATTAAAGTTGTTAGAACATTTTTATAAGGTAGAAAAAGTTATTGCTAATAGTTATTACATTTCTTTTCAGATACATTCAAGGCAAATACATTATATAAACTGATCTCAACAAGATGAACTGATAATGTATTTCCTGTATAACACATACTGTAATTTTTTTTTATTCTACAAGTTTTACAACGAGGTACAATTAATTGGCAGAAATGTTCAGTCTAAATAAAGTACTTCAATTTTCTTTATTTCGTTGATAGTTGCACTTTGTCTTTAAAATGTTCAGGAATGTATTTATCCAAGTGCTTTTGGGAATTAGGCGTTCTGTCGTAGAAAACAAAATTAATCTCTGATGAAGAAAAGTCGGCTCACTTTAGTAATCGCTTAGATTATCAGGCTTTTATAATACTTTAATTATTATTACGACGGGATTTTCAAGTAACATCAATGTCTTTTTGTAAGAGTAGTAGATGATTCACTAATTTCTCAGTTTAAACTATTCCAAACTGGCGTTTACTTATAATATTGTATAATCTTAGCAATGTGTCGACTGCTAACAGTGGTTGAGCAATGTCCTAATCAATTCGTGTTTTCAAATCAAATACGTGCAAACTATAAAATTAGTCTTTCTTGATGGCGTGGCACTTGATTTCAGTTTGCGATTATTCAGAGCTGTGTGTAGAGGTGCGTCTGGTAAAGATCTGAGGCCATAGGAGGGACTGCTGGGGGAGCTCTTAACTGCGTTACTTCTCGTAACATGCCTCTAATTTCTTCTCTCAGACTCCCAACAATTTCTCGCTTCAGACTCTCTAGTTCATGGTGAGATAATAGACCAAACTGTGAGTCTTGTCCAAACTCTGGACTAGAGTGAAGCATTATCTGGTTACCTCGCAGCGAACGGATGATATCCCTCTTGATACTTTCAATCTGACCACTGTTTCTAGCTGCCTCACGCTTTCTGTCCTCACGTAGTTCATACCTGGAAGTAAAAATAGACTTGCTTAATATTCAGACTTTTAGAAAATAATAAGTGAATAGTATTTGTGCTCTATTATTGATTGAATTAATAGCTACATTATAATAAGTTATTTATTACCGTTCAATTATGTAATTTAAAGAGTAAAACGAATTAGGTTTGATTCTCACTTATTTTAATTTGTATTCCGTAATTTAACCGATCGGTTTCACCATTTCTTTTACTTATCCCTCAGTTTATGTAAATAATGGGCAAACATGAAAGCATTGGAAATTAAATCAGTTATGTGCTTAGAATATACCATCAATGTGAATTAATGAACAATAATACATTTGAGATTAAATTAATAAATAGAATTAGCATAATAGATTTTAAAGTAGTGAATTAAATAGCAACAATATCAGAATAAATAGAGCTTAGAGCAATTTTGCTAACTGCTTAACCAGAGGTGAGTTTATACGGAGCGAATTATAACGCATGACTTTCCTGATAGTTGAGGATCAGGTTTTTGGGGTTTTTGTTTTTTCAGCTAGTTATTCAAATTAATGTTTATATGCAACGTAAATGAGGTATATTCTATTCTTCCTTTATTGGTAAGAATGTTTAACAGATCTAGTCTTATTATTATTATTATATAATTTTTATTATAAGGATTATTTTGCATTGTTTGCTTACTATACGGATTTAGGATTAACCCGAATCTCTTAAGCTCCGAACCTCATGAGATATTATTGGGATTACTGCCGAAAATATCGTAAACAGCTAAGGTACCCAACCGATGAAACAGTGCATCCTAATCATTATAAGCAAGACTTAAGAACAATATACTAAATTTGTTATACATACAATTTACTATGTTAATTTTTAGTTTTAATCTATGGAGGTAGCTTGTTTTGATCAGAAGTTAATATTACTTTCGTCCTTGCAGAGAATATGAACTTTCAGTGAAAAAATAAATTCTAAGGATCTTTTGATCTACTCAAAAATAATAAATAATTCCCCAAGTGTTTAAAAGTAACTGATATAGTAAATTAGATTAATTATTGTTAGATAAACTTTTCGATTTTCCATTCAATGACAAATTTCCTGTTTTACTTAAAACTGCATTAGTCATTGAATTACATATGATCTGTTTCAGTTATAGACTTTCATAAACTATAAACTTCGAATGTTTAACTTTCGATATCATCCTGTTATTGGATTTTATACAAGTTATAATAATATTTTAGTAAGTAAAACTTAAAGAATTTCAAACTAATTCAAAGCTATAAAATGACTCTATTTACCTTAAGCTTGATATGTCTTGTTTGATTTCTAGTAAATCATCTTCGTTTACTCCATCTTGGCGAAGTTGTTTCTTGGTTTGGTGAATATAACGACTTACTAACCGCTTCATCACCTCCTATCAGGAAATATTAATTTCACTTATAAATAGTGACACGATGAAAATGAGACAAAATCACATTACTTGGTGTGCGTTTGTGATGCCGAGCACTTAGTTATGCAGCATTAGTTGTGCATAATTTGAAACCTGGACCTAGCACCAGAACATAGTCCTGGTATTAGATGAGGGGCCTCGTCGGCACTGAATGTAGCTGATGTAGTGTTGTGGATATATTATTATACATTCTTCTTTATCTTCACTCATAAGTTCCTAAAATAATCAAACAGCACTTGTTTGTTCCAAGGTCAGTTTCACCACTTGCGTCATATAGTCTTAGCTGACATAAAATTCGGACTACCACTAGCAAAAACTTAGTTCAGCAGCCTTTATTGACAAAACTTTCAAGACTAAACTCACAACCAACACAATAAACAATGTTAACTTAAGTGAATACTTAAAATGGAGGTTATAGTCATGTGCAATATGAATAAAAACAACGAGGGTACCCAACTTGTGAAGGAATACAATCTAATCATTGTTAGTAAGAATGGTATATTAAATTAGCTAAATATAGCGTTGATTTTTAGTTCTGTTTCATGTAGGCAGCTTGCTTTGATCAGAAGTTTCGTACTTACCGTGAATGTGAAAGGTTAGTAAATAGAAATAAATTCTGCAAATCTTTCAATATATCTAAAAGCATTAAATCAGTCTGTCAAAGCAATTTATATGACAAGTCTTCCTCGTTTACTCCATCTTTGAGAAGACGTTTCTTGATTTAGTGACTATAACGACTTACTAACCCTTCATCATTTTCTATCAAGAAATGTAAATTTTACTTATAAGTAGTGACAGGATAGAAAAGCAATAGAGAAAACCACATTGGCTTGGTGTGCTTTGGTGATACCGATTAGTAGTTATTCTATTAGTTATACTAATTATGAACTGACAGACTAGATGGAAAACAGCTAGTCAACAGCACTCACCGCCAACTCTTGGGTGACTCTTGTAAGACCAAATAGTAGTATTTGAATGTCACCCTTATAATGCATCCATGAACCCAAAGTGCAGAGCGCAATTTTTCTTTAGTGGTCACAGGACGCGAAAATTGGATCCGCAGATCCATAGGTCGGCAAACTAACCACTGATCTAAGCTCGATTCCAATTTTGAAAGATGATTTTTCAAAATATTCTCGAATGAACGATGTGTCAGTAGATTTGTGCTATACAAGAGCAGGCAAAAATATTATGATCCAAATTACTTATACCTAACACTGAGTGAAAATAACATTGAGCTGAAATGAATATGGAACGATGTTGTTTTGTTGTATTCAGTATTGCCATGGTGAGCTACTACAGTAATTCAATACAAAGCCCACGAACCCGATCGCTTACTTCTGTTTCTTCATTTCCTTTAAAGTTATAAATTTTACTAAATAGGCAGCAACAAAAATTTTATCTATTGTTATTTTCTTCATTTGTTTCTGACGAGAAAAATGTTTTCAATGTTTTGATTCATTGGTTAAAGTTGATCCGTTTTTTATAATACCACATCAGTAACTTTAGACAAGCATACATCATCGATTACAAATAAACGTTATTTTCCGTGAATACCGTAGTGTAATTAGTATTACTCTACACAATCCTCTTCTAAAGTTTGTAGCATAATAAATAATTACTGATTAATAACTAAATGTAAACACCAAATATCTTGCAAGAGTTAAATATGCTGAGAAAATTGTCCAGAATTAGATGTTATAAGGTTATCTAAAATTTATGAAATGAGAAAAGACATGATGTTAATAAAATGTTAATTTGTACTTTTAACCGTCAAATTCGTTTCTGGCTTGAAAACAAAAGCGTAAACAGAGAAGCACTAAACATTTCTGTTTGGATATTCATCTTTAAAGCACAAGTAATAAAATATCCCCCTCCCATCTTAGATGTTCTTCGTGGAAAGAATGTAACCTAAATGTAAGTATCACAAATGTATTAAAAGAATCAGAAAAGCTTAAACTCGGATCTTGTTTACTATAAACAGAAAGTTACTACGAGATATAAAACGATTAATATAGCTAGTAAAACCGAAGAAACAAAACATAGTAAAAAGATCATCTCGCTAATGTTGCATGTCTCTTCTAGGCATTAATGTGGAGAGAAAATTATTCTTGAATAAGGATCCTAAAGTCATAAGTGATAATAGAGTGATCTAGTGTATTCTTTGAACAGTATCAACAAGGCAGGTTAGGAAACAAGAATATGACGTAGTTCAGTCAAACGTAGATAATGTTCAAACACATTGAGTAGAAAGGAGAAGAAAAGATGAAAAGCGAAAAAACTGTTAAGACACTAAATGCACAAGCCAAATGAGCTTTAAAGCAGGCAGACATAACTAAAAATTATAAGGTTATAAGCAAATAAAATGCGAAGCTATAAGGAAACTCTTCCTCTTTTAGAGGATGAAACCGAAATGCAAAGCAACTGATTATGGAAAAATACATCTAAAACATAAAAGGTGCAGAGGATTTAGGAAAAAATAACTACCAGTGCTAATGTTTCAGTAGCGTTAGCATGAAGCAGTGCCAAGCTGTGTTAAACTCAAAACGCATAACAAAAGCGATATATATATATATATTGCGTTGTTTACCTGGTAGTTGGAGTTGCTTCTGCTAGGAGCTGGGCCTACTCGCACCGTAGCACCGTTTAAGTTTGATGGGTCCTTGAGGTACTATCAAAACCAGTATCATGATTATAACACTGAAGAATGGAACATTAGGTAAGTCATCGGTAAAAAAGGTACTAAATACATGTCACGGGTTAGAAAGTTGGATAAATGGACAATCGAAGTTAATTTAAACCACCGAATATTTTTTTGAGGGGTTTTTCATTCATAGGTTTGTCATTCTCGTTCAACGTCATGGATCAGTAAAACACTGTTTACTATTGTTCCTATTGAGCTATGGTCTGAAAAAATTAATTGTAGTGATTCATTTTTATTATGTGGCATTCATTATAAGTATTTCATTCTGGTTTGAATTATAATTTAATCAAACGTTTACGTCTCCTTGCTCTTAATAAACAAATACAGATAACCATACAAAATTATATATAATATACATATACTTTTCTTCCTATAAAACAGATACAAATAATCGCACAACAGTATATATATATACACTTTTCTCTTTATACAAGCATCTGTTGCTTGCCAAGGAAGAGGAAAATAAGTCTAAATATTTGATTAAAATCCCACTTGACTGCAGATGTATACTAGTTCATCCATTATATGCTCTTGTTTGCCACAACTCACTATTCAGGAGACTTTTCTTTCAGTATCAGAACGTATCGTCTGGGCTAGACCTATTGCAAAAGTCTGTCTGAGACATTATTTGCGTACAATACAAAACATAAGTAAATCTGCCATCAGGTGTGTTAATCATTACATTTGATATCCCTAATGAATGTTCTTCATTCGCACGGTTGGGTTATTTACACCACTGCGAAGTGAGAGTTATCGATGACAGACTCTAAGCTCAAAATTTAACACGTATAAACCATGAGAAAGAAGATATATTACGGACAGGCCCGAAATATAAAGTATATCTCAAAAACCTTAAACATGAGATTTATTAAGTGAAATTCTCAAGAAAGAAGTAAACATATAATCTTTAAGTTAATACACGATTCTCGGTGTTACACTTAAATTCCTAGAAATGATAATTTTTCCATTGAATAGCTAGTTTCATTCAAACTAGATGATACGAAAATCTTTACTTTTATTTTATTTTTCTCAAAATGTATCCTCATTATCGGAATATAATTAAATACTTCGGATAAACATAGGACCTAATAAATCTTAGAAATCAATTCTAATACTGTATTTATCGCTAATTGTATTGCACCAACACAAGAAAGCAAGTGAACTCTTCAAATTCGAATGTATTATTATCATCGTGATTACCAGGAATAATTCCACGAGCACTTTCTACACTGATGCACGTAGGTACTTGAACGTGTCAGTGGCTGTCTCTACACTGATGCACGTAGGTACTTGAACGTGTCAGTGGCTGTCTCTACACTGATGCACGTAGGTACTTGAACGTGCCAGTGGCTGTCTCAGCTTTGATGGTTTTAGCTAACAACACATGAAATGTTTTCAACTAATATACATGTAATTAACACAATATCTCTCACTCAACCAGAGGCGAAGTAATGTTTTGGGGTGGCAGGATATGGAACAACTCTGGTAATTGTTTCTCGGAGGTGTTGCATACACGCTAATTGATTATTTTTTTGGATTCCAAAATCAAGTTATGCGACCTTTCTTCATTGTCTGTTTGAACTTGGAGACCTTGTTCTTGATCTCATGATCTGGCGAAAGGCTATTACAACTATCATTATTGTCATTAGCAGCACCAAACTGATTTTTGAATGCCGCCACAGCATCTTTGGGATCCATATATGGATTTGCCTCAACATGCGTTGTCAAAAAGTCTATCGTGATCGCATCCACAGCGTCTGCACAGGTTGCAAGTCTAACGTCTCGGAACCTTGCACATGAAGGTTATCGAGGGATTAATGGTTATTGATGATGATATGCCGAAGACTAGCAAAGTTTCAGTCACGGTCAGCGAAGCTTGGAGCTATCTGTCGAACATCTGTTGGTCTCTGTTCCAAAAAATAGATGCAACGACGGGGGGAAGAAGAAGAAGGCTCATGTAGCGGACCCATCGGTTATATAACAAAAAGTACTATCATCAACTGTGGGGTTTCCGCTGCTGACGTGGCCAGTCATAACATGGTCAATTTTTGTCCTATTTGGAAGCTGTGAATTACAATCGTCATATCTCATCTTATGTATGCCACAGCCTTTCTAAGTTTAATCAAAGTCTGATACATTACGGATTTTTTACGTCCGATCCCTGCCACGAGATGCCTCTGGTTGAAGGAGATACCGTGTCAAAAAGGTAAAATATCGATAGTTTCATAAAACACATAATAACTCTATTTTGTTGAGTTAAGATAGTCAAATATAACATATTACTGTTTAAAGAACGACTTGACAAAAATGGCATAAGGTGATATACTCTAGTGTTTTTAAAGGTTTCAAGATATTATTGTAAGAGAATATCAACACGAAATAACAAACAAATGAAAAGTAGGCATAACTCTAATCCACTTTCATGTGTCTAACGAAGTATTCTGCCAACAAATTCTGCCTCCGTTAAAATAATTTTGATGCAGGGTTGCCAACTGCTTCTCTGAAAATCCCCATAATGATAAGCCAATTAACCCTCATTTACAAAATACCTTTACCGGAGAAGAGGAATTGCATGTACAGGGTGGTCCAAAATGATTTTTCCTATCTTAAAATTTAATAATTAAATAATAAAGAAATACAACCATGCAGTTTTCAACATCTTGTAGCCTAACTCAAACCGTTTTTATTGTCATGTTCCAGTGTGTAGTGTTACCCCATAAAATGGCAACCGTGCAAGAAAAGGCACAATGCGATGGATTGGTCGAGGTGGGCCAATTCTGTGGCCTCCGTGTTCGCCATACATCACCCCATTAGAATCCTTTCTTTGTGAGTATGTTAAGGACATCGTGTGTCGCACACCTATAGCAAACATCACGTAGCTAAAGGCCAGCATAACAGATGCTGTCGCCACAGTAACTGTGAACATGTTGCAGCAAACGTGGACTGAAATCGAATATCGGTTAGACGTGTTGAGAGCCACTAATGATGCACATGTAGAAGTCTATTAACATGTAAATAAACACTGTTTGAGTTGGGCTACAAGATGTTGAAAACTGCATGGTTTTATTCCTTTAGTTCCTTAATCAGTAAATTTTAAAATAGGAAATAGAATTTTACACTACCCTCTATTTCACTGACCATCCTACTTTGCTTTTGATAAATTCTTAAATTCCCCATCCATTCATATTAGATCTATTACATACCAAAAGTATTAGCTAAAGTAACTGCAATAAAAGGGTGTCTGTTCCACAGCAGGCAATCAACAACTTTTTGTTTTGTGCTTCTGATTATTAGGAGACTAATGTGACTGGTGAGGTACCTTTAATGTAGTCTCTTATTGGCTTTGGGGAAGTGTAATGTTTACATGCGGGATGAAAAGAGTTGCCATGATGATTACAGACACAGGGCACTGGGCCATTTTCATATTTTTATCCATAATATGCACTGATTTATTTTTCAAATAATGTGTGCACTTTTTTATCCTGTTTTAGTTGGGCTTACAAAGTACAAGATTGTTCTAACAAGTTTCAATTAAGTTTCTCTTCGAAAACTGCAGTGGTTTGCTAACTGAAATCTTGAACATGTCAAATGTGTGAAACAAAATCTTGAATACTCAGTTCGCTGGAGGATATTATTGTTTAAACATTGGGAAAATAGAAAAAGCGAGAGAAAAGTGAAAAATCCAAAACTAACCATCTCAGTCTCCAGACTTAAATCCCACCTAGGTTTTGTGGAATGACTGGAAATATGCTGTTGCAAAAAAATAAATCAAAGTTAATTGGATAATTCAAAGCTATCCAGAAACTTGCTTCAAAATGCTAGAAAAATAAACTTTTATATCTACAAAAAGTTTCGAAGCGATGACGTCATTTTTACGTCACACATTCCCCACTGGTTCTAAACAAACACTACGTGCTCGTTCATCTACTAGTAAAGCAGTATCGCTGCGATAAGCATATCGGCAATCGCTGTTTATTTTGATTATGAGTCAAAGTCAATAAAGAGGGGAAAAAATCACCACCAGTCAGGACAAGTGGATAGTTTTCAGTATGCAGAAGGTGTTCTAAACGGCTCTATGCATGCAAGTATGAAGAACAAGACGTATAATGTTACGTCAGTAAAGGGAATATATACTTTTAGGCCAAACTGATAAATAACGCGTTCATTGTTCAGAAGAAGAAGTTTTGCATAAAGTTGTTCTAGGTATGCTATTTGATGAATCAGTGTTATCTAATGTGTAAATGTTGATCCCATATTGTATGATTAGAATATAGTTTGTTTGTTTTGGAATTTCGCGCAAAGCTACACGAGGGCTATCTGCGCTAGCCGTCCCTAATTTAGCAG